TTACATGTACTCCCGACTTTCCCGCGTTATATGCTCTGGGTGTCTGGACACACTACTGGCACACACACAAACGTAACATTTTATGTAAATGAGTTGAGTACAGACAGTTATACATTGTATCAAACATGTTTAGGCTACAGTTATGATGTTTTGAATAGTAGTGATAAAATCACTGGCAATTTCATTAGGTACTTGCTCTGATGTATCAACATTTACCACAATCTGATTGTCCAATGTTTAGTGAAAACGATTGTAAATGCTTTTGTGTTGTATAATAGAACATTTTTCTCTGCTGGATAGAGCTTGTAAAAATGCAGAAAAGATCGTATTCTGCGGAGCCAGAATTTGGTTTACCATTTTGTGTATTGTTTCGCAGTGTTCTCAGAAATTTAAGCCACCGTGGTGTTAAAAATTTATGTACTGATTATTGGCATAACTATTCAAAATAGAAATATTGGTGATCAACCTACTGAATTAGAAAATTGACTCCATTTCTATCCATTTGACAGTGTTCTCCCCAGGATGTAAACAGCGTGGCGGTGCCGCCACAGTGCTTCGATTTGCTGCCACACCGGTCTGACACCGCCACGGTGATTAGCAAGACCGCCACAGTGCTTTTTTCATTGGGGATCTCGTCACGACTGGCACTCAAAATTAGCAACCATCACAGAAACGCTTCTGACCAGGACTATTGTCATATTGTTATTATACTTGCGTACCGACCGACAAGCATCCTGCCAGTCGTGAATAATAATTTGTAAACAATAGACATAGTCGTGCGATGTGGTAGCGGCTTTAAACAATACAAGTCAATTTTGTAAAATTAGCACCTTTTGTTTGTAAGTAAGTAAATATTTTCTGACGATAGACGCAGTCTTTAGATTGAAAGCTAAAATTCTTTCAAAATCAATTCCGCTTCGATGTAACATGGGCAAAGCGGAGTTCACGATCAGTTTACGCTGCTCAAGAAAAAACGTGTTTATTGCGTGATTTGGTAAAATACATTTGAACTGTTAACGTGAATCATGTAAAACCTCTTCTTTCAAGACTTCTTTTACATTTTAAAAATTGCTAATCACCTCTTTCGAAAACCATCATGCAGTTTTTATCTGAAATCCATACCAACACATCATGCTACGACATCGCTTTACTTCCGCAGTGTAGTTTTTATGATCACGATCATTTGGAAAACTTCGGGTTCTACCGGCATTACCATGCGGCATTCTGATTGGTTAATGGCGTTTTTGACCCACCGGGTCAAAGGACACATGCGGTCAACTGACGCGTCACAGCTATCATGGCAGGTCTGTGTTTTTCACCGAAGTGATCAAAAATAATTTCTCCCGATAAAATTAGTTCAAATTTTACGTTTTTTTCATATAAAGAAAAGTATTTAATTTTTGCATGGCATGACTGGGTAAGAGGAATTATTGGTATAACTGGTGTATAACATCGCAAAGTAAGTTATGTCACGTCGTAACTTGATGATCGTTCGGAAGTGTTATTTGTTCGTTCATTTACTGTAAATGTAAACGTTGTAGAAGCTGATGGGCGGAATAACCAGCAATCCGCCAAATAATTACGTGGTCGATTTTTTGAAGGAGAATTTTGTAGTAAATAAGATCATGAAAGTCGTGAACATAATCCTGGCTGAAACGTTTCAGATGCGTTTCATTCATTCAACCTGTTTTTTTAGTCTGCAGCATTTGCATTTTGAGAATGTTTCATTTTTAAATTCAAACTCTTCTAAGTTGTGAAACGTAATTTTCTGACTGCAGAAAACTAAATATTTGCACTGTGACGGAGCTCATTAATATTACAAAAGTGTCCCAAAAAGTGTTTATAACACTGAAGCAAATAAATATCTGCCACTTTGTTTTTGTTAATATGTTTATTGTGTGGTTGTAAATGTGCTTTGGTCAATTTCTATTATTATGCAAATGATATGCAAATTATGTCGCCACAGTGGTTTAAATTCCTGGGGAGAACACTGATTTGATTTAAAGGGCAGTGGTCGTTGCGCATCGAGTGTTCAAATTTAATGTAAAAAATGTATTTTACGCGCGTTTTCGTAACTATGAGTCAATATTGATGACTGTCGCCCTTTAAGTCCGCAATGACACAGTGGTGGAAATGGTACTGGCAGTCAAACCAGTGTGGCAGTAAAAAAGGTATATTTGCAGGATTTCATTGAATTATTTTCCCTGTTGAAGATTATGAAGATAGTGAAAATAAAGTAAATTTACATTAACTGGCATGTTTTTTTGTAGGTTCATATGGTTGGAATAGATCTTTTCACTCAGAAGAAATATGAGGATATATGCCCTTCCACTCATAATATGAATGTACCAATTGTCAACAGAAAAGATTTCCAGGTAACTTGCATAGTGAAGTTGTCCAGTCAAATTTTCTCATGACCAATGAAATGAAATGACATTCAGAACTTATTAATGTACTTGTGCTGTTGCTTGTTTGGTGAGGTACTTCCTTAGATCCTGCCAGAGTGCTCTCTGAATGTAGTGTAGCTACGAAATGTCTAGAGTACAGCTGTATCCGATTAACCACTTAACCATTGCACAACTGTATTAGTCCCCGTTCGATATTCAGTTTGGAACTACTATGGTTTGTTGTCCGTTATACATTTTGGCCATTTTTAAACAATTCAATATTGGTGCAAACCTAGTCAATCAAACTAGTACTACTCAATAGGTGCTCATCGGATCTCTTCACTTTTTTCAGTGATTGTCGATGCGGTATTGACTTTAAGTCTGGGCTTTCATAAAATATATAGCACTTTTCTCCCCAAGCCTCTGAAGCGTCACGATACAGTGATGCTTGGACACTCGCCCATAATGCTTGCCCGTTGTTCGCGACACTTGGTCACTCGTTTACAAGTGTCGGTCTCGTCTTGCCCAAATTAAAAAAAAAATAACATGTATTGATCGAACGATCATCCTGCCTTTGTTAGCATAGACGATGATAAAAACAAAAGTCTGCAAGAAGTAACCAAATCATTCACGGGTGCGGCGCCTCTAAATCCAAAAAACAAATACTGGACGGTAGTAATAATTTGCCCATTGCACATAACGGCAACGATGTGACAACTCAAGTCTCACAAACACAGCCTATGTCTGGAAGATGTATACCGATTTTCTGCACTGCTGTTATTTGCAGTTTTTACTACTCAATTTCCGGTGACGCTAATTGGCTAAAAATGTAAAAAAGTGAAACAAATTTAAGTTGCATTGAAAAAAAAAACTGTAAATAAATCAAAGAAAAAATTATTCAACCCTGACCCATGGAAATACTTACTCATAATAAGAGTGCCTTAGTACCGGAATGCTGCCCTAAGACTACATGCACTTTATGACATTGCGGTCGATGCATGTTGGGTTACGAGAGGCATTCCAATTGAGGTAACAAAGATGGCGGTGCAAAGAACGCGTTTTTTCGAATGTTTAAAAGCATCTCATTGGCGACTTTGATGTTAATGTCTAAGATAATCATCAATGAATCATTTTAATTAACAAAACATTCTAAATTTGTATATTTTTAAACCAAAAAGTCCGGGACTGATGGTCGCAACAGCAGTGGTGAATATCCAATGCAGTCAGCTGACAATGTTAGTGATCTAGCATTACGCATAAGGTATAGATGAATCAATGAAAAATCGCTGACTTTAGTTTTGAAATGCCGTCATTGATTTATTAATTTCTTCATATTCTGATAACCCGCAATCTGGTAGACTTTTACAAATTTAACCAAAAAATGTTTTCCCGATGTCATGAATTTATAGTGACATGGGCACTAAAACTGACTGTACACTAAATAATGAACCAGTTACTCCATGGATAACAATATTTTTACTGACTGGCTGGCTATAACATAAATATTTGCATTGTTATATTTCACTTGATATGAACATCAAATACAATGGAGTAAGTGATATAAAAAATATCAGACTATCTCGTCTTTAATTAATTGCAGATAGGTTGACAATTTTTTTTATAACAAGTTATTGTATCGCAATGTTTGTTGGGGTAACTGATTATTATGCAAATACAATTATGCAAATTAGGTGCATTATTATGCAAATTTGCCTTTGCCCTTAACAATGAAGTCTGGGGAAAACACTGTATATGTTGAAATTGTTTAAAGAAACTCTTCTGGGAATATAATTGAAATGCATTTTACTTCCGGGGGAAACTACTACATTCTTGAAATTGTGTTCTTTCGAATTGTTCTAAAAATTCTAATTTTTAAAAAAATATTAGAACAAGTTTCTCAAAATGTCACTAATGCACAGAATTGCAATTGGATGATGCTATGGAACAATAATAAACCAATGAGCAAATGTCGTGCGATTTACAGCAAGTCTCAGAAGTATTGGGGCAGCCAATTTGCAAACTCGCTAGCGAATTGGCTAACTGCTTCGGTTTTGACGAAACAGTTGGCTTTCGCATCTCGCTGGCGCCGTCTTATGATCACGCCCACTTACGGCACTTATATAACACTAGGGGGACGATCGTCATACTTGAGGAGCTAATCAGCGACAGTTTTACAGTTGGGTGGCGATTTCGCTTTCAAATACTAGTATACTAGGGAAAGTGTTCTATTTCTTTTGTATTCACATAAAATGACGAATGACTTTTTAGCGGTCGGCTTAATTTTACCCCAACGGATCTTTTGTATGTGAAAGTTTGTTATTTTCTCCCTGATTTGTAGGAAAATGTTTCTCAACTTGACTATTTCCATTTTGTAGTTTCAAGCAGTGTTCAAGATGGCTACCCCCATATAATATCGATAATAATCGCATTTATCATATCACATGTACGCCAGCTGACTGGTTATTTTCAGGCTCAAACCGAGGGCTCAAATTACTCGGGGGAATCCAGACATGTACCAGGCTGCGTAAAAAAGCATTCATTGTCTCCTACTGCAAAATAGACTCACCCAGAGTGGACGCGATCACAAGTCGGCGCCAGCGAGATGCGAAAGCCAATCGTTTAGTCAAAACCCAAGCAATTAGCCAATTCGCAAGCGAGTTTGCAAATTGGCTGCCTCAATACTTCTGAGACTTGCTGTAGGACCTACTTTCTCAAAATTGAGTGGTCTTCTATCTTGAATAAACATTCATTTCTCTCTGTCTATGTGGTGTGGGTTGTGTCAGTGCATGAACCTTATTAACAGTGATTTGTGTTATTGTTAGTTGTTGGATATAGTGGACGGATATTTGTCTCTACTGGAAGATGATAGCTCTGTGCGTGATGATATAAAAAATCCTTCTAATGAGCTGGGAAAAGAAATTGCTGACCGTTTTGCAAATGAGGAACAGCTATTGGCAAGTAGTATTTATTAATAATTATCAACCAAATTAATCTTGAATGTTTCCTTTCAATTTATAACTTTTTAGTCCCCGTTCGGACACAGTCCGAAAACGGGGACTTGTGTTTTGACCTCCGTCTGTGTGTGCGTCCGGACCTGTATCTTAAAAATGCCTGGACCAATCACAATCAAACTTCACACATGCATCATATATGATATTATACATATGCACGTCAATTTGTTTCACGTTCTGATTCAAGATGGCCAAATGGCGGCCATTTTGTGCTAAAAATCATCAAAATCAAGCATTTCTCGGGTGCTTACAGATGGATTTTGTTCAAATTTAGTATACATATTAGAAATTATAGTACCTTGATGCACATCATTTTGTTTTATGATCTGATTCAAGATGGCCGAATGGCGGCCATTTTTGTGCTGAATTTCCTAAAAATCAAGCATTTCTCGGCTGTTTACAAATGAATTTTGTTCAAACTCGATATATACATTAGACATTATGGGACCTTGATGCAAATAATTTTGTTTTTCAGAGAAGATTCAAAATGACCAACTGGCGGCCATTTTGTTTCAATGAATGTGGTTCTCGTGCTATATCTCTGACTTGCTTTCACTGATTATGTTCAAATTATAAATATTCATTATACATCATGTCATAGATAAACAGTTACATTGGTTGACAATCTATTCAAAATGGCCGAATGGTGGTCATTTTTGTGCAAAAAAATCATCAAATATCAAGCATTTCTGGCATTTATGGATGGATTTCGTTCAAACTTGGTACATTAGACATTACGGGTTCCTGATGCACGGCATTTTTTTTTCCTGATTGGATTGAAAATGGCTGACTGGCGGCCATTCTGTTTTAATGATTGGGCTTATAGAGCCTACTCTTAAATGCTTTGACTGATTATATTCAAATTTTATTTATTCGTTATACATCATGTGATATATATACATGTATTCAAAATGGCTGATTTTGAATGCTGTTCCAGAGCAATTTCTCTCAATTATGGACAAGTACTTGTTTGATGATCAGATACAAATGTCAATCATTTTAATGTTAAAAAACCATATTCCTGACATGGTTATATTCCAGCTATATTACTATAAACAAAACTATATTTCTTAAATTTAATAACTGACGGGGACTGTGCCATGCATGGCTTGTTAATCTATATTTAAAGCAAAAAACAAGTTTAAAACAATGCTTCAATTACAATGGTGGTGTATTTTATGTCGGTGTGGTACCTAACAGTCTGACTAATCAGAGCAGCTTAGCTTAACAAGTTTTTTAGCTCTGCTGTCGACTTTGTCGAGCGGAGCTTATCATATGAGTGATTGTCCGTCGTCCGTGTCAATGTTTTACTTTTTCGACTTCTTCTTGAAAACTACAAGCCTGAATGCTTTGATATTTGGTGTATATGTACCTTGGGTGGACCTCTCTCAGATTTGTTCATTTAATGATCATATCTTCAATTCTCTAATTTTGGTGAATATTATTGTCATTTTTTGTCCAATTGCTTTTATATTACATATATAGGTACTACATGTAGACCTCTCAGATTTGTTCATTTTGTAATGATATCTTTAATTCTCTAATTTTGATGAATATTTTTGGTAAAAAGTGATATTTTCAACTTCTTGTTAAAAACCACAAGTCCAATTGCTTTGATGTTACATATATAGGTACTACATGTGGACCACTCTCAGATTTGTTCATTTCATGATGATATCTTTAATTTTCTATTTTTGGTGAATATTTTTGGTAAAAGTGATATTTTCTTGTTAAAAACCACAATCATTTATGGTGAAAAATAATATTTTTGAATTCTTGTTAAAAACAGCAAGTCCCATTGCATTGATACTATGCATGTTGTTCATTTTTAGCTCCGCTGTCGACTTTGTCGAGCGGAGCTTATCATATGAGTGATCGTCCGTCGTCGTCGTCCGTGTCAATGTTTTACTTTCTCGACTTCTTCTTGAAAACTACAAGCCTAAATGCTTTGATACTTGGTGTATATGTACCTTGGGTAGACCTCTCTTAGGTTTGTTCATTTCATGTTGATATCTTTAATTCTCTAATTTTGGTGAATATTTTTGTCATTTTTGGTAAAAACTGATATTTTCGACTTCTTGTTAAAAACCGCAAGTGCAATTGCTTTGATATTACATCTATAGGTACTACATGTGGACCTCTCTCAGATTTGTTAATTTTGTAATGATATCTTTAATTCTTTAATTTTGGTGAATATTTTTGTCATTTTTGGTAAAAACTGATATTTTCGACTTCCTGTTAAAAACCACAAGTCCAATTGCTTTGATACTACATATATAGGTACTACATGTGGACCTCTCTCAGATTTGTTTATTTCGTGATGATATCTTCAATTCTCTAATTTTGGTGAATATTTTTGTCATTTTTGGTAAAAACTGATATTTTCGACTTCTTGTTAAAAACCGCAAGTCCGATTGCTTTGATATTACATATATAGGTACTACATGTGGACCTCTCTCAGATTTGTTCATTTTGTGATGATATCTTCAATTCTCTAATTAATTTATTTTGGTGAATATTTTTGTAATTTTTGGTAAAAATTGATATTTTCGACTTCTTGTTGAAAACTGTAAGTCCGATTGCTTTGATACTATTCATATTGTTCATTTTCTAATGATGTCTTCAGTTCTTTAATTGAAATGTGCCTTGCTAACAGCGGAGCTATCTCGGCCGATAGGCTGCTTGTCTAATGATATCTTCTGTTCTTTAATTGAAATGTGCATTGCTAACAGCGGAGCTATCTCAGCCGAGAGGCTGCTTGTTAAATTTTCAAATTGTGCCGTGTGTGTATATATATATATATATATATATATATATATATATATATATTGAATGGAATTTGCATGCTATGCATGTAAATAACTTGAGGGCAAGTTGCATTCTCTATCATTCATAATCTTTTTTTTTTTACAGGTTACAGTTCTCTCTGCAATGGGCCACGAGTGTGCTATTTCAGTCAAGAACTGTCCAAAATAAGGCCAGTGTTGTATTCCTGATATTGAAGATTTGAAACATCCATGCATTAGTCAACACCAACATGACTTGACAGCGGCATTTACATTTTGTTTCTTTTAAAAATTAAAATTGTAATTGTTAAACATGGTTATTATCAAATGTTTTGACTTCCAAAAACAATAGCATCTCACAGGTGGTTGTTGTACCATTATTGGTGGGGGATCTCGTTGCAATACTCATTCATGTGGGATTATCTTTGTCTTGTTCTCAATGCTCGTTTGTTTGGAATATCATGACTATTTAATTTACACTGGTTGGTGCTGATTGTCAAGTCATTGGATCAGTCTTATTAACAAAATAGAAATCTAGACTTTATTTTTTGTCGTTAAGTTTGTGTTCAATCAGGAAACAAATTTTGGTTTCTTAATTTTCGCTATTGAAAAAACAAAATGTCCTATTGTCAATGTTTAAATTTCAAAAAACTTGAATTTATAGCGCTGCAAAGTGCATGGATGTTATTGGTATGCAATAATACTTCAACCAGGAAAGATAACGTGCATCTCCTGATTGTGACTTGGTTATTTCTCAGTAAACTAAAACTTTTATTCAACACAGTTATTGTCACGGTAGTTTTACCCCATCAAAAAATATCCAGTCCACTTTATTCTTATCTCTTGACATTTCTTAATAATACCATCTTCAATTATGAATTGCTTGATAGCAAGTTACTTGTATGTATCTACTTCTAATGGCGACAAATATACAGTCTTCAAACCAATGCAATTATCCTTGTCATTATTATCAAATTAGTCATTTGAATAGGTGATTTTCCATACAATTGCGAGAAGCATGAAAGACGCACGTCGAACGTCTGCCGCAAAAATCGAACGATTTGATTTTGAACTCTAATTTCTTTATTTCGTAGCTCACACCGATCTTCGACAGAGGAATATTGCTTCCGAATACCCTTACTTAATCGAAATTGCCTATCATCAAATGTGTACAGCACATTATTAAGCATGGAAATGCCCCCAAAATATTTTCGCGTTTGTTGAATCCCACGCGACGTTTGACGCCACTATGACGCTATGACCTTTGTTTGTCCTGTTTTTACGTTCGATTTCACGCATAACACAGGATTCTCGCAGTGAACGGAAAATGGTCAATTGCTTGATGTGCTATGTTATGAGGGGGGAGAGGTAGAATAAATTAATAGTGAAGGATCAAGACTGTCGACAGTCCTTGGGCATATTTTGTTAGTACACTGTCTGTGAACATCAAAGGTGTCGGTAAGAAATGCCGTAGACATTTCAACGGAGGACTGTAAACGCCCTCGCACGAAATTGGGAGAGTTTTGTCGTAATGTCATGTGTTTACAAGCAATAACAGGCCTCAGTCTTCGCTGAAATGTCTTGGGAGTTTGCCGATTCAGTATAATAACAAATTAGGGCTGAGGACTGTTGAGTCTATGGAGGATTTTAATTTAAAGCGCAGTGGTCATCGAGTTGTGTATGTGCGACGTTTGTGTTGATAAACATTGATTTTCCCACAATCCAATATGGTTTGACCTGGGCATGTTTTGCTGATTACCGTCGAGGACTCCTTAGATACCTTACAATCACTTGAAAAATGCCTAATTAAGTCAAAGTCGCAATCTTTGTTTATACGAGACCTGGTTATCTCGCACATGCGTGGCATGACTACTGCCCTTTAAAGCGCTTGTTGCTTAGCAATGGTAGTAGTGAATGCTGGACATTCTCGGTGATTTTTTTTTTTTTAAATAATTGCTAATTTGCATATATTCAAAATGGCCGCAAAATTAGGCAAATTTACACCAGAACAAGTAGATAGCTTTGCATTCTAAATTTAATTTTGACATGTGTACAGTCGCGTGGATGTGGTGATGCATTTTTTACACAATTGTAGGATGAGTGCCTTGATAAATGATGTCAATTTACTAAAATAGCCGCCATTTTGAATAGAACATACCGGAAACGGAACAGTGCCACCATTAAGTATTCACTCACTCGTATACATCAAATTACATTTTAGCATAACACGTAATAACGTAAACATGGTGGTGTTTTAAATAAATGTAATCATATATTCATGAACTAAACTTGTCTTACACATAAAAGAAATATGAGAATGACAATGAATTAATTTCCACCAATCATCAATGATAGCAATTGTGCTCAACAAATATTAGGTAAAACAGTCGTATTATCTCTAATCGTGCAAGTGTTATCACAGCGTATTTACATCAATACATGCTCACAACCAGTTCTTTAGGATTATATTTCTTCTACAGCTAACACCCTTACATTCGCCACATGCTAAGGAACATTCTAGACCATGGTTCTTGCAAGTGCATCTTCTGGTATGACAATCTGATTTGCAGTTACATTAATCATCTTTAGAAGATATTCTGGAGCAGCTGCCAATTCAGTTGTTTTCGCTTCATAATGACCTTCGACTTTAACCCATCCAGTCTTGAGGATTTAAGTTGTCAGTTTCCTATCGATTGCTGAATTTGAAAATAAACACTAGCACTGTGATAGCAAGCAGCAGCAGCTGTTGGTGGAATATTCTGAACCTGTACTGTATTGATACGAGTATATACTTTTGCACAAAATCGCATGTATCGCAGTTTATCCAACCCCTCTCCTGGATCACCACCATACAAAGAACATAGAGCTCTCTCACCAGCTACATAGATTTCTTCCATAGATGATTCTCCAGTAAATACATAAGCCTGCTTTTTGTAATTTTCGTAGTGCTACTCCTTTTCCAATGCCAAATAACCGTGACGTTGTATCGCATCCAGAAATAGCATGGACAAATGGCAACAACTGACACATCTCAGGTCCAAGTACATTCTTAAGCCAATTTATATTCCATACTCTTGATTTCTTTGTCTGTCTACCTTCTGTTCTAAAAATAATAGAGAAAGTCTTTACATTAGCATGTACACACAGTAGGACTAACAGATCTGTATCTTCTCCTATGAGAGTTGTGGCACATTTGGTGGCCGAGGATATTGCTGTCTGAGCAATAAGTAAGTCAGCATCCTCTTCTGCATGGATCGTTTTAAAGCCATTTTCCTGCAATTTTTCACTGAGCATGTTGATGAACTTCTTGTTTTGGCAGTTTGATGAGGTTTCCTCCTTAGTCTTAATTGGCATGCTTCCAACAAAGTTCACTTGAGCACCCACAATATGCCCTTTGAACGACGCACATGTGTACTATCTTTAGTAGAATGCCCTGCTCCATATCCATCAAAGACAATAGTGGTGTTGGTATACTTTTGATGCACGTAATCTACATAACTTGTGCAGATGGAATCGAAGGTTTGCTCTCGTTTCCATGGAATGCGTTGGATTAGTGATCCACCATCGAGCACATAATGCATTTCTGCCTCTTCTGGTATAGGCATATCAATTCCCCTACCAATTGTCCAAATAGCATCAGCAAGTTGTGGTTTGTTTGCCTCTTGGAGGAGACCACAATGGTCAAATAAGGATGATGGGTAATTACAGAGCTCATACTTGAATATTTCTTCAACATTATCAGTCACATTTGGTGCAACTGATATCAAACGCTGAAAAAGCAGCTGAGGGTCGATCTCTATGGAATCACCAGCACATTTTTACCTTGCCCGTACCAGCAAAGATGGAAGGGAAAGGTATATTAAGGGAAAAATTTTGTCTGGCGTTGTCGTCGTTAATAATTGTTATTGTGTGCATAATAACTTTACTAATTCTATTCCAAACTTTATCAAACTAGGTCACCTTATTCATCAGTATAAAGTCTTCCCTGAGTTTGAACAACAGATGTCCTGTATGAAAATATCATGCAAAAATTGAGAAAATCTGATAAAATATTTTGACTGTTTCTACTTGACTGATCACTGGTGATACACATCAAAGGTCACTGATCTCAGTGGAAATATGCATTGTTGTATGTGTTCAATGAAGCAAATGATTTATCTTGTAATAATACCCTTGGTAATGTATCTCAGAATCCCATACTGAGTTTCAAAACCAACTCGTGGAGAGATTGCACAGTCTGATACACATTTGCAAACCTACCAATAAAATCTTTACAGAAAACAAGTAACCTGTAGAATGCTGTGTGGGTTATATTTTTATATTGATTTTTGTTGCATTTGCAGCAAATAGTTACCAATGAGAAATCTATAGGATTGAATACCTCTCGGCTGGCTTCACATGCATAGTTCAAGCCTGCCTAACCGGTGCTTATTCAAGGATTTAATTACATCACCTGGACGATCTGTGGTTGCAGCTTCATGGTCGGAGTAATCGCAAAATTGATATTACAATAGAAAATCATGAAAGACTGGCAGTCCCATGCAATTAATAGCAAGTGTAATTCCTGGGATTGAAACATGTATTTTGAAGTCACTGAAGTAGGCAATGAATGATAACTTCAAGTTGGCATGAAGATGGGGTAGTTTATTTAATCAGTGCTGAACTAGAGGCTGAAATTATAATTAAGTGCGTTGTCATATAATTTGTTTATTTCAATTTCTTCTGAAGTCAAATAGAATGCACTGGTGAAACTGTGAGTGAAAGGATGTCTTGGTGGGGGTATAGTCTACATTGTGTATGAAGTGGTAGGGTCTGGCGTCACATAATTTGTTAATTTCCAACTCTTATGTAGTCACATAGAATTTCACTTAATTTATTTTTGCTGAAACGTTTTCAAGCATTACGTGGGAATCCGATTTTCCCTGTGCTGTGTCTCAATAGAGTATGAGGTAAATGGCATTTTCACTGGAATTTATTTCAGGGGAAAAATGTTTTCAGTGAAAATGAAGTATACCATTACATATGTACTGCAGTTTATTTTTATTCGTCTTATGAAATTGGTATTTCCACACCCCATATAGTAGTCCTTTCAAGAGTAGCGTTTTCCAAACATAGCAGAAATAAACAATATTTAGAAATGCGATATTTTACTTTTGGGGTACATGAATATACTTGCCGAGTGAAATGAAAATGGCAGTCACTTATTTTGACTAAAACTAATTTGCATATCACCCATGCAATAATGTTTTCGGTATTTTCAAGGTCAATATGCTAATGAACATGGTATTGGCGATCCGCTCCTTAAGGATTGCCCCTCAAATCATTTGTGAGTGATTTCCAGTGTTTTCACGTATTAGTTCTGTGATTTTTTTTGCTTGGTCGATTTTGCTAAAACGTGGAAGGTGGGTCACACCTTCACCCTAGTTATTAGGAAAAGTCTGCAAAAAAATGTTCGTCCATCGTTGCCATAGCAACAGTAAAAAAATGATTTTTGGATAGCTTCGAGCTAAATGTATCTCCTACAAATTTAGGATACAACACCTCAGACATAGCTCATTGTACTCGGCTTGAGTGGGGGCACAATGATACTATTTGAATTTTTGATATCTTTTTTCATCACTGAGAAAGTTGACCCCAAATTTAGAGTAACTGTTCACCAGGTATGGCTTTTTAA